TTTGTTATGAAATTAAAAATTTCGGATGGTGAAATGTAGGGATGTTTTGAGAAGATGGTTAAAAGCTAATTTTTAACTTTTTTTTAGTTCTTTTGTGAGAGCGGGAAGTGGGTAAAAGCTGGGACATGGCTTTTAACCCACTTCCCAAAATAGGCCTTAATTTCCAGAATCACACGGAATAATTTGTATTTTAATCAAACTTCAGAGTGTGTATTTGTAATTTATCTTCTTTTTTTTTGAACTAAAAGTGATGTGACCTTATTATGCAATATTTCTCATTAAATTATATATATATATACAAATTAGTTGTAGTTTTCAAAAGTATTTATATATTTATAAAAAAAACTCATGACTTTCATAATTGAATTTTGTAAATTTTATCATGAATTTGAAATTTTTTTTAACTACATGTTGATTGTTTATTTCCCCTATCAAAAAAAAAAAGTTACACTAATGTTTTTTAAGATTTAAAAAATATGAATATCATAAAATTGACAAAATTATGTTAAATAAAAATGATGTTATTTCTTTAATATTAAAATATATATTTTATTGTTATTTATGCTTGTGTTTACCGGAAAATTTTATAATAAATACTTTTTTTGGTCTGTACCGTATACCCAGTTATGACCTTTATAATATTTAATTATAATTCATTGAGGTGTTGATTATGACACATTGTGGTGTTAGTTATGACTAATCTCTTGTGGTTTTTAATTATGACCTCTTTTAATTTTTATTCTGATTATAACTAAAAGGTTTTTGATTATGTCTAAAGTGGTGTTTAGTTATTACATTTGGTCATGACTCATTGTGATGTTAGATATGATATATTGTGATTATTATTTTAATTATAACCGAAAAAGTCTTTGGTTATACCTTAAGTGATGTTTAATTATGACCCATTATATTTTGTTTTTAGTTATAACTGAAAGTGATTATGTCATGACTTGTATATGGTACACGTTCTAAAGGTATATAGTACGTAGATTGCTAACCAATTGTAAGTATTTAAAATTTGTAAAAATGTAAAATACTAAATGGCAAGTAAAGTCACAATTAGTGGTAAATAGAATCAAAACCAATTGTAAGTGTTGTGTTTATAAATGCTGACTATTTAATGATATTTTACTATTACTTAATCATACATCACTTACTAATCAATGATACTTTACTTACTATTCAATCAGACTCCATTTATTACTTCACCAGACTTGATTTATTATTCAATGAAACTCACTTACTACTCAATAAAACTCTCTTTACTATTGATTGATAAATAAAATCACAGCAAATAGTAAATATTATATATTTTTGAATGATAAGTATGATTTCGACATTGAGTTTTACAATCTATCTTGGTAGCGATAATGATTAAATATGAGTCCACTTATTACTTAATAATGCCCCATTTATTACTCTATCAAATAATCAAACATTTTGTTTTGGATATGTTAGGTATTTTTAAAATGATTTGAATTTATAAAAACTAATCAAAGGTTTTTATTTATCTATTCAATGATACTTGATTTACTACTTCATTAAGTTGACTTATTTTTCAATCAAACCCTACATACAATTAGAATTGACTTACTACTCAATTAAATGACATTTACTACTCAATGAGACTCCACTTATTACTCTATTAAACTTGGCTTACTACTTAGTTAGATACCATTTTATTTTACTCCGATGTGTTATTAATTTGTTAATTTAAGAAATGGCATTTGGTAACCTCAGTTATCAATTGGTTATGATGTCTAATCTCTGAGTACTGGGGTGAGGTGGGGTTGTGACAAGAACGAATGGTAAATAGAGTCACAATGGATGGCTAATGCAATTAAACTAATGGTAAATATTGTATTTATGAATAATAAGTATTATATCAATGAATTGTATGTATTGCTATAATAAGTGGTAAATAATGTCATAATTAGTTGTAAGTAATTAAAATGTCTACTTACTATTTTATTAGAATTAACTTATTACTTAATGAGATTTCACTTATTATTAAGAGATAAGTAGAATGAATGGTAAGTAAAGTCACAATGAGTGGTAAGTAAAATGAAAAACAACTAGCAAGTACTATGTTTATAGATTGTAAGTATTATCTTAATAGGTTGTAAGTATTGTTATAATAAGTGAAAAGTAATGTCACAATTGGTTTTAAAGTAAATTAAAATGTCCACTTACTACTCTATTAGACTCGAATAATTACTTAATAAGATTTCACTTACTATTGAGTAGTAAGACCATCTCCAACGATTAAGCAAAACCATCACCAAATTTGAATTTTGTAAAAAAAGTAACTTTTTTTGGTTCCAACAGTTTCATCAAACTGATATCAAAATGAGAATTGCCCAAAAATTTCACCAAACTGAAGATGTGTTACAGCTTTAAGCAAATTACTGTGCATAGCCGTTGTTTTGTGGACCTACCAGACGATCAGCCGGACATCCTCGCGAATGACAACCTCAAGCAAAATTTTGTGAAAATTTTACACTGGGAGGTCGACCCCCTGGTCGACCACCCGGTTGACCCCTTGGTCGACCACCTCTTTGGTTTCTCAATAAATAAAAAAAAAACAGGAAAAGAGAGAAAGACAGTATACCTCAGTTGGAGCTATTCATAGTGGAAAACCAACACCATTTGTAATATACAAAGTTGAATTAATCACAAACGAAGATCGAAATATGTAAGAAATGACATACATAACCAAATTTACCATCAATTATCACCGATCGATACATATCCAATGAATTTGTAGAAAATGAAATCACATGAATTCGTGCATTGATATAAATAACACGATAGTATAGAGAGAGAGAGAGAGAGAGAGAGAGAGAGAGTAGTGGAGGTGATTGAAGTTTACCAGGTTCAGATCCATGAGAAATGAAGAAGAATTTACAGAAACCAAACGCAACTCTCTCTGTTGTGTATGTGTCTGTAAGAGGGGTTAATTTGAGCCCACTAAATTATTTAGGCCCAATAGCCCAAGATTAGTGGGCCCGAATTTATCGCAAGTCCAAGAATCGGTGGGCCCAGATTTATCGCCATCAAACGGATTGAATCGCTCTAAGCCTCGAAAGGGTTCGGATCCACGAACCTAGAGACTTACTCAGGCCCGGAACTCGAAAGGGTATTAGGCAAGCCTAGAGATCCGAGGCACTCGGACTCGAAAGGATTCGGACCCACGAATCTAGAGATCCGAAGTACTTGGCTTCGAACGGATTCAGACGCAATCTAGAAGTCGCTCCGTTAATGAGTCCATACTGAACCGTTGGAGATGCTCTAAGTAAAACGAATGGTAAGTCTGAATGAATGGTAAGTACAATAAGAATAGATGGTAAGTATTGTGTTTATGGATAGTAAGTATTGTCTCAGTAAGCTGTAAGTATTATTATAATAAGTGGTAAGTAATGTTACAATTGGTTTTAAAGTTATAAAAAAATAAAAAAAAAATCCACTAACTACTCAATTAAACATGACTTACTCTTCTATCATACTAGATTTATTACTCATTTAAACTATACTTTACTACTCAATCACACTCTGCTAATTATTCCATCATATTTTATTTTTCTTATGACTTAGTAAAACCTCATAATTTTTCTTTAATTAGATGAAATGTTATTATAACAAAATCTTAAAATTGAATTAAAAACATCATAGAAGGTCAAAATAAAATAGAGATATCTAATTGTGCACAGTAAATTCATAAAAAAAATTGTGAAATAATTACAATTTCAAAAAAAAAAAATTGATATGAAATTCATATAAATTATATAAAGTATACAAAATTTATAAGTAATAAAATAAAATTAAGGAACTCAAATTATTCAAAAAAAAAATGTAAAATTTTATATTTATTATTCACATTTTTTTTACATTCTACTTTATAAATTTCATATTTATTTTAGAAGTTTTCAAAATTTATTATAATTTAATACTATTAGTTTACCAACTACCTAAAAAGTTAGTTAGGTGAATTTTGCTAATACATGAGCGAATTTTGTAGAATAGTAAGGTCAAGTTTGGGTAGTTTAAAAAAAGTTAAAAAGTCAAAAAGTTACTCAAAAAGTTAAAAAGTCATTACTATTCACTAAAAGTCAATAATTACGGCTGAACAATTCTTAATTCTAATTTTCCCCTACAAACTAATTTTTACAATTTTTTATTACACATTTTTCCATAAAAAGTCAAAAAGTTAACCCAAACATTGATATTTTCAACCTCAACTTTTTAGTCTAAAAAGACAAAAAGTGCACTTATTTAGGCCTAGTTTGGAAAGACTAAATAAGTGCACTTTTTGACTTTTTTTGTATTATGTGTAGAAAAAGTAGAGAGCAGATGTTGATTGATGTGACCCAAAAAAGATAAAAAGATGAAATAAGTGCACTTTTTTGGCAATAGCCAAACTTGGCCTTAGTCTTTCCAAACTTGACCTAAGTGTGGTCATATAAGTGATAAGTTTGCTTAATTATTGTGGTAAGTTGAAAAATCACATTTTTGTTTCACAATTAGTGAATAATACATATTTAACTTACTAACTAATTTATTTTTATAAATTTTTAATAAAATTAAATTTATTTATACGCTTTTTTATTTGGCCAATTTTGACATGATTGAAAAAAGACAAAAAGTCAAAGAGTCACTATCCTATTTAAGTCATATCATCTTATTTAAGTCACATCACCTCTCTAACACATCACTTCAAACTCAACCCAAACCCAACCCATATTTCATAAAAAGTCAAAAAATACACTTATTTAGTCTTTCCAAACTAGTCCTTATTATGTTTATTGTTCACAAATAATGTTCACATTCCATATAAATTACCGTTTACTTGTTTTTCTAAAAATCATCTCGTTTTTCACCAAACTACTATCTTGTTTTTTGAATTTGACTTTAATCATTACCAATGAATGGTCTGGATTTCTGCTGACTTGAATCTAATGGCTAAAATTAATTTATGTATGATACATAAAAACCATTTTTGCGTACCATAGAAAATTCCCCCAATGTGATGTGTGTTCTTCTAGTTCGGATCTGCTGTGGGTGCGGCGGCAAAATGTGCTCAGCCGGAGGCGTCAACCCGGAAGGATTGGACGTCGGGGATTTTGAGGATAGAATGGATGAAGATTGCTCCGTCCGTTCCGTCTTCCTCGTCTGCCTGCCAACGGTCCGATCTGAGTTTCAACAGTGTGCCCTAACGGCTGGGTGAAGGAGTGTATGGTTTGCTGATCTTTGCCTCTTTGGGAGCGTTGGTTGAGTCTGTTGGCCCTTTTTTTATTTTTTTATTTTTATAATAAATTTTGAAAACTCCAACCAATATGATGATTATTAGCTACTTTGTTACCAGTGATACATGAAGATTCCATACGTATCTATTTCTTACCAGTGATATATGAAGATTCCATATGTATCTATCTGGTATCTATCTAGTATCTATCAATGTGATTTGTGAATTTTAAAAGTTGTTGCCATGTTTGATCACAGGGTACCCTAATCCATGGAGCTGAAACATTTAAAAATATATTTAGGGAAGGCTTCAATATGGAATCACTGGACGAAGTACTGATATCACTTGGTATTGGAGGTATGACTTCCCAAGTTGCTCAAATACTGCAGTCAGCATTTGGCTCACGGATGGTTCCTCCTTCTCTAGCAAAGAGGTATAATGTAATCTGACCACTTCTGAGTTTCTTTTCTAATTTTATTTATATTATATATAGTATAGTTGTCTGATTTCTTTGGTAATTCGAATATTCATTCAAATTATAATCCAAATCAATATTCATCCGGTTGCCCTAAAACAGAGGCTGCCTGCCTGCCTTACTCGAGAGAGTAAAGTTCTAGCAAAAGAGAATTATATAATTACCTTTTCTTTTTTTTTTTAAACATTGTACAAAACAATTAATAAATAAATAAATAAATGCGTGGTGCAGATACAAACTTTGTGTGATGTGGTCTCTAGTTCACATATTTCATTTTTTTGACAATTTTTTAAATTATTTTTTCAAACTCACTAGCATTACCGGTTAGTAGTTCCTTGCAAAAAGTTTGTTTGTACGAGGTTTTGAAATGTATAGATATTGTATTGCTATAAAAGAAGGAAAATGCTACTAGGCACACTCTTATGAAGCACGGACACGCGACACGATGCGGACACGCAAAAACGTAAATTTTCAAAAAATAAGGGACACGACACGCTGGGGACACGTTCAATATATATAATTAATTTTATTTATCATATGTCATAAAATTATTAAAAAAAATCATTAAAATGTAATAAAATATACAAAATAACACTATTAAAATTATAAAAAATAAACATTTATCTGATCTAACATCATATATATCATTCACAAATAATATAAAATTGCATTCCATCAATACATAACATATCATTAGAACTACCACCCGTAGCCATTGTTTCAGAATTAAAAATTGGTTCCTATAATAAAATTAATAAACATACATTATTAAAATTATATACTCAAATAATAGAAAAGAAAAAATTAAATCAAAATATAAAAGAAAAAAATAAAAGAAAAGAAAAAAGAAAATAAAATCAGAATAAAAGAAAAAATAAAATAAAATCAGAGAAAATAAAATAAAAGAAAAAATAAAATGAAATTAGAGGCTGAGAGAGAGAGAGAGCGACTGACAATCGACGAGAGACGAAGAAGAATGAAGATCGAAGAAGAAGAAGAATAGCAGCGTGAACCTTAACGACGAAGGGCGAGAGACGACTGACGACCGACGAAAAGAGAAGACGAACGATGAACGACGAATCGATCAGGTCCTCTCTTTTCCTCTCTTTCTCACCCTTTCTCTGCTGTTTCTGTTCTAATCGAAGTAGATTAGGGCTGATCTGTTTTTACTTATTTACAAATCGACCCCAAATTTTTTTTGTAAATTGTGAAATTACCCCCCGAAAGTGTCTATAACGTGTCCGGATGTGAAAAAAAGAAAAAAGAAAAAAAAGGGACACTCTCTGCTGCGTGTCGGACACGTGTCCACCGTGTGTCCGTGTCCGACACTGGTACGGAGCCCTTGGAGAGGTGTTCGTGCTTCATAGTCACACTCTCTATCATAAACTACTTTGTGGTAAAAGTTAGGAATAGCGAATGTATCATGTATACTCCTAAAGTGAAAGTTACAAACCGTTGTCGATATGTTAGGAATGTTGTGATTATGTTATGAACGGTGTGTTGAAAATATTACGAAATATTTTTGGTGAGAAATGTTACAAATCATTTTGATGAGAAAAGTTACACATTTTCTGGTGTTTGTCACAAAATGTTATGGTTATGTTACGTATGTTGGGGTAGGGTGCATACAGTATGTCTCTTTTTAAAAGTGCACACTGTAGCAGCTCCTATAAAAGAATGATTAGTAATTGTTAACTTGGTTATTAGTAGGCTGTAGTAGAATTGTAGTGCAAGTGTATTGAAATCAATATAAAGTTGTGAAGGGATACTTGTGGAAAGTGTCCTATTGTGTCCTATTATTTATTTTTATTTTTTAGGCTCAAAATACGCTTTGGACACTTGGGTGGATACACATTTGAACAAAATAACCTAGAGGATACATATTACTAATCCCTCTTTTAAACTTTAGATATTAGTGTTATGCTGCATTTTTTTATTATAAATTTGAATGAAATATATTTGACATAATATATAAAATCATATATCTTGTGTGTGTCCCCCACGGGTCATGTCTTACACTTCTTAAAAATTTATGTGTCAGCGTGTCTTGTGTCCGTTTCTATGCTTCTTAGCTTTTAGTTATTAACTATTGACTTTCTTGTGCTAGGTTGAATTTGAAGCATGTAAGAGGCATGCTACTATATGGTCCACCAGGTTCTGGAAAAACCTTGATAGCACGAAGCATTTGCAAATTACTAAACACAAAAGAGCCCGTGGTCTCTCTCTCTCTCTCTCTCTCTCTCTCTCCACTTGTTTATCTTATTCTGACACTTCTTTTTCTCCTCTCATTCATGCAGATTATAAATGGACCAGATGTGTTAAATGCATTCCAAGGTGTATTAGAGAGGAAAATAAGGTCACTCTTTAAAGCAGCCATTGAGGATGAAAATAGATATGGTAAAGTTGCATAGTTCATATCATAATTGTAAATTCACTTCATTGTGCATTTAATAGTGAGATCATTTTAATCTTTTCTTTCAGGAGCTAAAAGTGACCTGCATATCATCATATTTGATGAAATTGATTCGATTGCTAAGGTGAGCACATATACAACATTTGCTCCTTTAGTGCTGTTAGTTGTGGAACCTGCAATTTGTGTTACACGTATGTGAATTTCACAATATCAGACCTAGGTTTTCTACATAATTCTAGTTTTTTTTCCCTGTTAAGCTTTTACGTCATATTGGTTTCCTTGTATTCACATGTATTATATGTTCTGTTCCTCCATTCCATTCCCATGTCATAACCTGGTCAATTTGTTGCTTGTGGGATGTCTTGTTATTCCTTCTTGGTAGTAGTGATCTGTACTGCAGACTTACCAATTGTAATGTTACTCATCTTTTGAAACATTGAGAATAAGATAAGATACAGGGCTTGAGTTTCATGATTCTACATCAATATGCTTTTCTGAGACAAGCATTCACCATTGAGTGTGTAATCCAGATTAATCAGCATTGTTTTCACATTATTTTCTATGCCCTATGATTTGCAATTCACCTTGTCATCCACTTCTAAATTTTTTATTGGCTTATACAAACTATGCTTTAATCAGTGTGGACAGTCAACATAGAAATGCTATTCTATATGAAAAAGGTTGGTCATTGTTAAAAGTCTTGAATTCAGAAATAACAGGTAAGAAGGGCACTATATCTTATCTGAAGTCCCCAAAGGTAATGGTCACCCAAAAACCATTTTTTTAGAAAGTGGTTCCCAAACAATAGGCACTCAATTGTTTTGCACATAAAAAGTAACTTGTCATATAGGAAGCATTTAACTGACCTTAGGTGATCATCACATCTACATGTACTTCATAACTTCACCAAGATAGTGGTATTGAGCATGTGATCCCTTTATCCCAAAACCTCTATGCACTGCACAATGTGGCATCTCTCATATCAAAATTAAAGGAGGCTATCTGCAAAGAGCCTTGTGGGTGCACTTGGCCTTCCTTCCAAAGATTAAGGGCTCTTCACCTAGGCACTCTCATATCCACTTGGGCCCCCTTGGGCAAGCCAAGTTTGCATCTAAACGTGCATCTCTTATATGATTCTACACTTGTTTTCCCATCACTCTAATACACTCATGCTAGTCTAGATCGATAGAAGGGCATAGGGACACCTTTGGGTTTGGTGCCACAGTTACGAGGCATCCGAGCAACCTCATGACTATCGCATGAGCTCATAGGGATTTTGGACTTGGTTTATTGGCATTGAATATTTGTCAAGATGCCGCACCCTATTCTTGTTGGAGGGATCTACACTTGACCAACCTTAGAGAGATCTCGACATGAAGTCAACTCTAGAACATGATAAAGACAAGTGAGTGCTTCATATCCAAGCACGCGTGACCACCATTCCGGGCACTAGGTGAGTTGGCCCATATAAGCCCAATCAATCTATAAATATAGCCTCCACCTCCATGCATGAAGATGATCTAACCATCTCCACCTCTTGCTTATAGTTTTGGCTCTTCACTTTTAGACCTCTATAACAACTCACTCACACTTTCTCTTCCGAAGGCTGTCTTTGCTTTCACCTAGAAAGCTCCTTCCCAGAAAGCTCCTTTGCTAGCTCATGTAGCCTCAAATCACCCACACAACCACATGTAGAACTTCAATTTTCTTCCTAATACTAGGTAAGAAAGATCCTTAACAAAATAAAGCATGAAACAATATTAGACTAAAAAGAATTAAAGAGTTCGTGCAATCCCTAGGATTCTTTATTAAGCACAATCTTGTTGTATATTGTTATATTATTGGAAGCATTTAACCCAAAATCGATTGGTAATAGGTGAAAGGGCCCTATAGACTATACGAACTAAGCTTGGGTGACTTAGAGAGGTGATGTGGGACAAGTCCCGAACACTCTTGCACATGCGACATAGTCTCATGGAGGTAAAAAAAAAAAAATTTAAGAGTTTTGTGCAAGCCCTAAGATTCTTTATTAAGCACAATCTTCTTGTAGACAGTTAGAATATTGGAGGCATCCATCCCAACATCAATTGGTAATAGGTGAAGGGGCCCTCTTGACAATATGAATCAAGCTTTGGTGATTTAGAGAGGCAATTTGGGACAACTTCTCGAACACGAGGCCGAATTTTAACATTTCTTGAACATGCGGTACAACTGCAAGTGGAGATGAGAGAAACCAAAGAAAGACACCTGGAGTGGAGACTTGGCCCGCAATAAATTACTCAAGACTCAATTCTAACACCATGTTAAAAATACTGGAGGCATCCAAACAAAAACTGATTGACAATAGGTGGAAGAACCCTTTAGACTATATGAACCAAGCTTGAGTGGCTTAGAAAGGCGATTTAGGACATGTTTGCGACATAAATAAAGGACAGAGGTCACAACAATGAGAATATTAATAATAAGCATTAAGAGTGAGTGAGAATGGTATTTTTTGGTTCCATATCTATATCGCAAATCATGTCTTAAATATGTTTTTGGTTTTTTGCAGAAAAGAGGGGTAGCTATGGGACAATACCATATGGATGATAGGCTTGTAAACCAACTACTTACCATGGTCTATATCTCTCATATTTCTTTTTTCAATTTGTTCCTTTTATTATTTCTCCTTGTCTAGGCAATACTTGAAAATTTGCATGCCTTTCAGATTGATGGCATGAAAGTATTGAACAACATATTTATTATTGCTACTACAAATCGAAAGGAGCTCATCGATGAAGCACTACTGAGGTAACATTCCCTCCCTTGTGTTGTTCTTTGCTGATTTCTTTGTTCTTTTTCAACAATATCTCACATTTTTTGAACTCGAATGGTATGTTCAAAATTTGAATTTATCAAAGTAAAGAAAAGTTAAATTATGTATACACATCTTTTATGGGTAACCAAACAAATATATATAAATCGCTATTTATTAACTTATCATTTTTCTAACTCAATGAAAAAGAGAAATTTAGTTTATCGTATTTGTTTGTAGGGAAGGTAGAATCGAACTACATGTCAAATTACAGTACCCAGATGAGCGAGGGCGCTTGCAAATTTTGGACATCAGCACAAGGAACATGAGACAAGCATTTGTACTCGATGAAGATGTGAATCTTCAAGACATTGGTAAATTGTTTGAACAAGAATGTTGTGCAGTGGAAACATCAATTCATCATTATGAAATGAGATTGTGCATGTGTTTGTTTGCACAGCTTGCATGACGGATGGCTGTAGTGGCTCTGCCCTTGCATCTCTAGTCAACCGTGCACATTCATATGCTGTGGTCCATGCAGGGGAGAGGGGACTGGTGAAGCATGTCCAGAAGGATGTCAAAGTAACAATGAACCACTTCCTCTATGCTATAGAAGATATTAAGTCTAGACTTAAGGAATCTAGCCTTGAACCAAGCAGGTAATACACATCAAAATTAATTCTTGTAACTGAATGACATATTGTTCATATCATAGAAATTTTTATTTCAATTAAAACATCATGTTTCCTATATTTTAGCATGAAATCTTCCTTTATTCTTTCTTGATCCGAGTCCCGACAACCTTAATTATTTAAAACTGGATACCTATTGTTTTCTTCTAACTTTGTCAAAATTGACTTCTCAACAATGGAAAACAAAATCCACTTCCAACCACCTGTTAAAGATTTGTTTTCTGCTTAAAGGTCATATACATTATAGCTGCAAGAATACTTCAAACAAGTGTGTTTACACAGATAGAAGTTTATATTGTCAAAATTTTTTCCAGGCCTTTCTATTTTTTCAACTTGAACAATATCCTATAAATTTTATTCAAGTTATGAAGTGTTCTCCAATAAGGGAGACACTACTGTGTGCACCCCTAAAAGGGTGCATATGGTATGCCCTTCATAACAACCCCACAGATTTTGTGACATAAACCAGAAAATGACATAACTTTTCTCATCAAGAAAAGTATTACAAGGTTTTGCTCACCACAGAAAGTATATCTTCCACTTTAGGGGTGCACATCATAGATTTCCCATCCAATAAAATCATGCTTCCTCAAATAAATATGTTTGTTATTAGATTCATTTCAATAATGGTAACCTCAAAATTTGAGAATCTTCAAAGAGTTGCAGTCTACTTTTATAGAAGCATTATTTGCAATGAATTCCCTTGTCCCAGACTCAACCTTTACAACTCCTAGATCACTAGATTATCAAGGTAAAGCTCAACTTATAACAGATTTTTTTGTGGCCACTGGCTTGACGAGACACAAAAGAATTTTGGATCATTATGGGGGGTGATGGTGGCAATAGTGTTTGCCTTTACAAAAGAACCCTTATTAAGGTTGTTCTCATTTTACCAGCATTCATTTGGTTTTTGATATTAATGAAGACATTATTGTAGGTTTGTTTTGTGATTTGGTGCAAAAAAGATATACACTAAGCGCTGACTCAAATTATTCCTCGAGTTCATGGATTTGATTTGATGTTATTATATGTTCATGGTGCAAAACGTTGGGATGAGCACAAATTGTCAACTTAATTCTTAATCTGATGTAACTATCTTTATTTATTAGTATTTATGAATCTAGATGATCCAAAGAATAAGTATGCGCAAGTGAAAACCTAGTTTATTGGTTTTTGTTCCCTCTTCATTTACATTCTTTGAACAATGGCAAATGTTGGTAGTCTTGTAGTTTGCCTCTTGTGTCAATTTGTTCCATGTAGTTCTAATTGCATCAATTTTACCCTTGAATTTTTCACGTAGTGTTAGTTTAATCCAATTGATAACGTTAATTAAAAAGTTTGACTGAAATGAAGGGCAAAATACTCAATTCATTTTTTTCAGAGTGATTAAGGGGTTGACATCCAATTTAAAATAGTTCATTCCCGTTTGAATGGACCTTGTAGCCCTTAATTTCTGTCCAATTTCTTAAACGATGTTATCAATTGAACCAAATTGATATAATGTGAAAATTTACGAGTCAAAATTGATACAAATGAAATTATAGGAACCAAATTGACATGGGAGGCAAATTATCGGGAAGACAAGTATAATTTCCTCTTTAAACAAATAAGACTTTATAATTGCTTGATATAATTACAAGTAATCATTCATTCTTTGAGAGAGATTTTGTAACTTTGTTAGGTAGAAGAAAATTGTTCTTATTTTTGTTTTCTGATTAATTTTCTTGCTTTCTTTTGGTAGTTTCAGGATGGAAAAGGAGGAAATGGTAAGGTTCTTGATTCTGTTATTTTGATCAGTAAAAGTGTCTGAACTTTATAGAATCATAATTTTAATTGGTAACATTGCTGAATATTACTCTCAAAACTACCTCTATCACCTGCTCTATAATCCTCCTCATTTTATATTTTGTTTTACAGATTCTACAGCAGTTCAGCTCCAGTAATTTGACTGAAGTTTTACACATTCAGCAAGACATTGCAAGGCTCAAGAAGGACAGTGCATATGTTCAGGCTACACTTGCTTCTTACAAAGAGGATACGGTCAAACTTGAGAAGGAACTTGTAAGTCCTCTTCTTTGTAAATTATATCGGTTCTCATTCGTTTTTCTTTTTCATCAAGGCTTTTAACATTTTGGATGCGGTATGGCAGGAGACACTTCGCTGTGCACTTGACCATATATGAGTTTCAAGTGGTCGTCGATGTCAGTGCATGTATGATTTCTTTGTGTAGGAGACACTTCGGTTTGGCATTTTTGTTTGCTTACTGTTTTAGAAACTATGTTTGAATTCGAAAACTCTGTTTGGTTGTGTATGAATTTGTTATGTAAACTCTGTTTAACAGTGTATGTTCAGTGTTGTAAAATGATCAGACTATTTAATGTTCAGTCATTTTGATTTTCTTTCTCTTTTTTGTTTAAAAAAGAAAATACTTTTGACCATTATTGGGGGGGGGACTTTTTTTTTAGGCTTCCCAAGACCCAAACAGCATGTTTGTTTGGGCAAATTGGATAAGGGGATTTGTAATCCAACGTACTGTTAGTCCTAGGATACATTATTTCCGGACTATTTGATTGGATTGAATTTGTATCTTATGTTTGTTTAATCATAGAATTAGATTTTTGAATTGGACTATTCTATTGAATCTTATGTTTGTCAAGAATGATAAATGTTCAAAAGACTATTTTGTCCTTTTGAATTATTTACTTAATAATAGGAATATTAAATTTGAATTATAAATTTTATTTAATATTTTTAGTAGAACTTTTAAAAAATTAAATAAATAGAATATTAATAAAAATTACATAAATTTATTTTAATTTGTAATTGAGATTTTTAAATTTTATTTTTCTTTACTAAGTATAATTAATACCATATGATTATTAAAATAAATAATTTAATAAATAAAATTTATTAAGTAAAAAAAATTAATAAATAATTTATTAAATAATGTAATAAAAAAATTAATAAATCAATTTTATTTTTAAAAAGATATTAAATAGTAGATGGTCAAAAATATATTTTCACTAACTAATCTCATAGGATGAATTATCTTATGAATTGTGTCCCACCCTCCATAGGATAGAACAATTTTATAAATTTAAGATTCATAATCCAGATGAATTTAGGTGTAAAAATTTTAAATCAAACAATAAATTATTAATCCTATCTTTATCTTATACTTGAATCCTTCTAAACAAACGCTCCCCAAAAGGGTTTGGGGGCATTAGAGGGATAATGGTGGCAAGAATGTTTGCTTTACAAAGCCTGCAAGAAGTACATTCCCTTTCTAGCGTTTGGAGCATTAGAGGGATAATGGTGGTAAGAATGTTTGCTTTACAAAGCCTGAAAGAAGTACATTCCCTTTCTGATGTGATTAACGGACATTGCTTGGGTGCCAACTTAGGCTGGACATAGGCCTTGAAGCCCACCCAAGCCTGTCCAGGCGGGACAGACACTGAAAAAGATAAATAATTAAAAAATTATTTATAGAATAAAGCTTAAGACCCCTCCCTCCCCCAGTGTCACGTGACACCGCGTGATTGGAAAGAAAAAAAAAAAAATTGGGCTACTGGGGTGCTACGGGTCCCAGCACCATTATTTTTTAAAAAGTTATTACTATTCATTAAAAAAATATATATAAAAAAAATAAATTACACAGGAACAAAGTACAAGCATACATAGGCACCAAGTACAAGTTATACATATTGAAGTGTTGGTCAGTGGTATAAATTTACAACGCGGGGTGCAAAAAAAATTAACCCGGAAAGGTGATGTTCGGTCCATGGGGGCTCATCATGGGTACCGTTTTGATAATTTGAATCGTTCAATGTGTAGAATTTGTCGAATACTATATACTTATACAAAATCACGTTGATCGGATATCTCTAACTACATAATCAAATCAATTTTGTATAAAAAATGGATGGTGTTATAGTTAATGGTTGACAAAAAATTAATCCGATCAGATAGCTATTGATATCCGATTAACGTAATTTTTTACAAGTATATAGTACTCAACGAGTTCTACACATTGCACGGCTCCGATTAGAAAAACGGGACCCATGGTGGGCCCCTGAGCCGAACAATATCGTCCAATTCGATGCCCGAAAAAGAAGCAAGCATCTCCTATACTACCATCTGCAAACCTTGTTGCCTGCCGTACAGCTTACAATGCACAAACTTTTCCTATACACTAATTTATACAATTTTTTAATACACATTTTTTCGCAAAAAATCAAAAACTTAACCCAAACAATCATCATTTTTGGTGTTTTAAACTTTTTAATCTAAAAAGTTAAAAAATACACTTATACAGGACATCCCAAATAATCCTTTATTAGGAATAATTATCATTCGTTCCTATTACTCTTGATTGAAATTCTTTACCGCATTTGATAATGATAAATTTTAAAATAAATTACAAATACATCTAAATATTAACCGAACTTTCTTTTTCTTTTTTTTTGGGGGGGTATTATCATGTCATGTGATTGTTTATCTGTTTGTCTTTCTCATAACATGTTAACCTATAATTTCAACTAAAAAAATAAAAAAATAAATAATTCATATAACAATGTATAGGTGCACATGTGAAGGAAAATATTATGCATATTCGTATTGTAACTGAGGTAATATGATAGAGGATCCCGTTACAGGGTCAAATGACAAGTTTAAATTTTCAAAACCATGTGGTCCCTTCACTGTTTTGCCTCTGCCTTTTAGGGATGACAATTTAAAACCGATTCGATAGGCCCGTCCCCTGACTTTAATTTAAGCGATTTTTTTTCAAAAAATACCCCCGACGGGACGGGAATGGTATTTGAAAATCAATCCCCGATCAGTTTCGGGCCGGGGATGGTGATAAGTGTCCAAGCCCAAGCCCCGACCCCGGTCCCGGTCTCTGTCCCTGTCCCTATCCCTATCCTCATCCCCGTCCTCGTCCCTGTCTCCGTCCCCGTTTGTCCCCAAAGTAAAATTACTATTTTATCCCTATATATATATATATATATATATGTTTCTCTATTTTGTTGACTTATTTTAGGGTTGTTGTCTCCCCCTCTCTTTCGATCTCTATTGGTGAATTGCACAGATCTATACCGCTAACCACCGCATCACCAGTTCCTTACCGTCGATCTTCTTCATCTCTCTCCTTGTCGTAGTGTGCTCATCTCTGATCTGCCTCACACGGCTTGGATCTCACTCCTCATGCCTTTAGTGCCGCTAGATCCTCGATTTCCTTCATTTCTCTCCGACCTCTCCAATCTCTTTGGATCTCTCCAATATCCTTCATATCTCTCCAATCTACATAATACTGGTCGTAGAAGCTAATTGATTTTGTGTCTGGTTGCTTATAGAAATTGAAAGAAATGAATCTCTCTCTCTCTTTCTCAAATATTGTATTATTTCTTTTGGGAGGAGGGGATCTGGCTTCTTGTATATATTTTTTTTTTTGATGATTGTCGTTGTTGCTTTATACCTCGATTTATCTCTGTAACTGTGATGAGATGGGTTTCTTGTATGTTTTTGTTTCCATTACTGTTGGGTTTCTTGTAGATGAAATCTAGGGGTGCAATTTGAGGAAATGGGTAAAAATGTATATATATTTTAATTTTATTTGTATATATATCATATAGATAATAACACAGATCAATTTATGTTCAAATTGAATAGATAAGAACACAGATTTATTTTTTCTTCCACCATCATGCTCAGATATATATATATATATATATATCATGCTCAAATTGTTGTTGATGATGATTGAGAGGGTAATTTATAAAGAAAAATTAGGCTAAGCTGCAATCCTTTAATCTCTATTTTGGGCCGAACTAAGGGTCGGGATATGGGCTTCAAGTAGCTCGGTCCCATGTTGTCTGGGTACCAAACTGGGCAGAGGGGTTTGACCAATCTACTTAAAAACTAGGCTTGGTGGTTGGCCGAGGTGTTTGTAAGAAAGAAGGCCGAGCTAGGTGTAGCTCGGTCGAATGACATCTACATCATTGTTTAGTTGAGAGCATGACCGAAATAATCTAGCTCGGTTAGGTTGCACTAGCTTAGACAAAGGAGAAAACCATCTTACTTGGTTGGTAGTAAGTAGAGTGTTATCAGGATAGACACTCTTCACTAGGAGGGTATAGAAAGATAAGCATTATCTTTGGGATTCCTAGGAGGACTCTACTAAAGAGAGTTGAAGTCTTACTAGGATTGTACCAGGCGGAATCTATAAAAGTTGATGATAGGACCTACGTACAGGTATCACAATTCTTACTCTCTAACACACAAAGCTTTTTGTCTATTGTCTATTGGTTGACTTAGGCATCGAAGAGGTACCCGGCACACACCTGCCGGCTAGCTCACATTTGTGTTTTCAGGGAGTAAAACGACGATATTTGGAGGAGTACAAACTTGATCAACAAGATTATACGAGAAGATTATTTCGTGCTCGTACAATTGGCGCCATCTATGGGAAAACACAAAGAACAAAACCTTTTGATCGAGTTTTCCTCTTTAGTTGAAATTAATGGCGCACGGTCCCAGCACCATTATTTTTTAAAAAGTTATTACTATTCATTAAAAAAATATATATAAAAAAAATAAATTACACAGGAACAAAGTACAAGCATACATAGGCACCAAGTACAAGTTATACATATTGAAGTGTTGGTCAGTGGTATAAATTTACAACGCGGGGTGCAAAAAAAATTAACCCGGAAAGGTGATGTTCGGTCCATGGGGGCTCATCATGGGTACCGTTTTGATAATTTGAATCGTTCAATGTGTAGAATTTGTCGAATACTATATACTTATACAAAATCACGTTGATCGGATATCTCTAACTACATAATCAAATCAATTTTGTATAAAAAATGGATGGTGTTATAGTTAATGGTTGACAAAAAATTAATCCGATCAGATAGCTATTGATATCCGATTAACGTAATTTTTTACAAGTATATAGTACTCAACGAGTTCTACACATTGCACGGCTCCGATTAGAAAAACGGGACCCATGGTGGGCCCCTGAGCCGAACAATATCGTCCAATTCGATGCCCGAAAAAGAAGCAAGCATCTCCTATACTACCATCTGCAAACCTTGTTGCCTGCCGTACAGCTTACAATGCACAAACTTTTCCTATACACTAATTTATACAATTTTTTAATACACATTTTTTCGCAAAAAATCAAAAACTTAACCCAAACAATCATCATTTTTGGTGTTTTAAACTTTTTAATCTAAAAAGTTAAAAAATACACTTATACAGGACATCCCAAACAATCCTTTATTAGGAATAATTATCATTCGCTCCTATTACTCTGATTGAAATTCTTTACCGCATTTGATAATGATAAATTTTAAAATAAATTACAAATACATCTAAATATTAACCGAACTTTCTTTTTCT